CAAGTGTCTTGTGATGCATCTGTTTCTACAATTAGGAAATCGTCGATTGTTGCATTATATAAAGTAGGGAGAACTTGAATTTTTTGTTTTATATTTTGTACCAAAATAGTATCTGTATTGGTCCAAGACCAAGGTATTTTTTCTGATATTTTCTTTTGTAAAACTTTTCTTTCTTTCGCTAAATTTTTCAAAAATCCTTGTTCTGCAATATAATTTAAACAACCAAGAAATCGTTGTATTTGTTTTCTATTTTCAAGTTTATCAGGAAACATATTTAATTTTTCTCGTATATTGTCTGTTAATGATAATTGACCATTTTCTTCAATTTTTAAACCGAGATATTCAACTGTAGATTGAAAAATTTTTGATTTCTTTTTTGATAAAACTAAACCCTTTTCTTTAACTCTTTGTAAAACCTTGATGACTGCATCAATGTGTGTTTGTTCATTTCCTTTTGTAAAAACAATTATATCATCAATATATGCAAGACAAATATGATCTAAACCATTTAGAGTTTCATCCATGAATCGCTGATATATTGCTGGTGCCTGTTTTAAGCCGAATGGAAGGACATTCCATTCATAATGCTTCTGAGGAGGACATGAAAAAGCGGTTAGTGGTTTCGTATTTTCATGTAAGCGTAATTGTCAATATCCGGATTTTGCATCAAATGTACTAAAATGTGTATTTCCTTTTATTTTTTCTAAAATATATTCTTTTCGTGGTAATTTATATAAATCTCCTATAGTAGCATCATTCATCTTTTTATAATTAATTACCATTCTTCGTTTGCCTCGTTTTATTTCATTATTATTTTCTACATAGAATGCAGGTGCAGAATGAGGACTCGTGCTAGGTCGAATGATTCCTTTTTCTAATAGTTCAGTGCATTCCTGTTTGAATTCAGAAACATCTTTTATACTATATGGAATTTTATTTGGAACATTAATTTCATCATTAGGGTTTTTTAATAATATTATTATTTCTTGATTATTTCTATTTTTTAAATGATCTAGCGGATTTTCGCTACGTACTTCTTCAAGTTGTTTTTCAGCAATTTATTTAGCAAATGTTAGTAATATGCGTAGTTGAAAACCAACTTCTTGTTTGATTATTTTAATAAGATCATAATGTTTGATAATTGCAGTTTTTATGATACCGTTTGTCGGATGATTGAGACTTATATGATCATTTGTTTGTATAAATGGCTGATATAATTTAAGGAAATTATTTCCTATTACTAAATCTATTCCTGAATCATGTTGATATATAGTTGGAGTTTTAAATGATGCCTTTTCAATTACTATATCTATATCTCTTCCTACGAACCAAATTTTGTGAATTGATTTATCAGCAATTGTAATTTTTAGTGGTTTTTCTAATTTTTTCCAATTTTTTAATATCTTTCTTCTTCCAAAACATAAAGTAGCTCCTGTATCTATAGACGAAACTAATTATTTATCTTGTATTTTGGTTGTAATAAAGGTACTATTTGGGTTAATATTTGTTTTTCTTTTACTCATTGGGGTATTTTATAAATTTCTATTAATTAATGATTTTTCTTGCGAAATTTTCATATTAACAAGTTGTGTTTGTTAGTATAGTTGAAACATTATGTATTGTTTCTAAATTACGGTTTTGTGATTTTTTATATTTCTTAATTCCTTCTTTTAATCGAGATATCTTTTTTTAGTTGTTTATTGTATTCTTCTTTCTTTGGTTGTAATTTTAACAAATAGTTTTCTTCATATAGTAAAACATTTTTTAAATGTTGAATGGTATTAGAGATATTAGAGTTTATTTTCCAATGGTTTTTTAATATATTAGTCCAAAGCATGTTATCTTTTGAAGAATTAATTTGTACTTTCGAATTCATTTTAACAAATTATTAAAGCGTCTGAAAGAAAATTAATTGAATTGTTAATATTTTTTATTACTATTTTTAAATGATTAATTTCAATTTTTAATCTTCCAATCTTAACTAATTGATATGCAGTATAATTTTTGTTTTTAGAAATTAGTTCGTGTACTTCAGATTCTTTTTCTTTTAAATGTTTTGTGGATTTTTATAAATCTTTCCATAATTTTTTAAGTAGATCAACTTTATATTTATTATCGTAAATACAATATACTTGAGTTTTATTACTCATAATTTTTATTTTACCATGTGAAAGGTCGTTTGATAGTAAGTGATTTTTCTTTAAGTAGTGGTTTTTCATTAAGTGGTTCTTCTTTAATAGTTTTTATTTTTAAATATTTTTCAAGTAATATCTTCTGTTGAGTTAAACTTTGTAATAGTTCAGGAATTTGTTTTAATACAATTAAACTTTCTACTTCTATAATATTATTTAATTTTTGACTAATTATATTTAATTTATCTCCTACTGATTTATCTTCTTCAGAATTAAGACCAATATTATATATTGTTCCTTGCGGTAAATTTTGTGGTATTTCTATAATCATTTCTTTATCTGGTATACATGGTTTTGTATTTTGATATGATCCTTCAAGTGTTTTAAAATATTTTAGGGAATTACTAGATGATTATGTCATATTCTTAAACTTAATGATCTAATCATTTCTTTAATATCTTCTAATTTTTCATCGTTGTTTTCATTAGATGTTGTAGGTTGACATTCCGAGATAGAAGATCTACCCATTATAGTTGAAAATGGAGGTTCTATAATTGGACTTTTTTTTATTAACGGAGTAGTTATTATTGGTTGAAAATTAGTTTCATTGAATATTCTATTATTAGTCATATTTGGTGATTCAAGTGATAATAAAGGAGTAAATAATTTATCTATATAAATTCTATCTTCTGTTTTAAACGTAATACTATGATGAGAATTTGTTAATACATAATTTATTTGATATGTAATAGTAAACGGATGATTACTTTTTATCATAAAATTTTGTCTTAATAATTTATATCGTACAGTAATACTATTACTTAGATTTTTATCTTTAAGACTTAATCCTAGTTGAATATTAATATCAAATTTTATTTTTCCTTCGATTAAATTACCTTTTTCCTTTTGCAATAATACTTTCTTGGTTATTAATTATACGATCATCTCTGATTTCTAATTCTATTGGCGTATCTAAATCGCTAAAAGTACTTTTTAAAATTACTTGAATAGTTGATATATGAATATAAACAATTTTTATTCTATCTGCTTCTTTAATATTAGATAATCTATTTCTAATTTGTTGTTTATTTATTATGGGTATAATAATATTTCCTTGAGTTGATTCTATAGGTATTGCTTCTTCTCCTATAATTTTTCCATAATATATAATATTTTTTCTAGAAAAGAAATTTTTTAATGAGTTATTTTTAAAATTATATTTTTCTGATAGTGTAAAATTTGATTTTTTTATAGCATCTTTATTAATGTTATTTTTGTTAATTAAAGCATCAAAAATATATCCAGATTCATTTTCTTCGTTATTAATAATGATTGGTGAATTTTCTATTTCTTGGGACATATTTATAATGATATTAAAACCTTCTTACGATAATTATTATTGATTTTTAATAACGATAATTTTTGAATATGAGTTTTTATGAAGAGATATGTAAAATATTCATTATCATGTTTATGATGCTGCATATGCATATATTCTTATGAACGAAAGATTGAATATTCAAAATAATAATAAGAACGTTACTTAGCTCTGATACCAAATTTAAAGACATGACGGAATTAATATAATTAGGATAGAATTGTACCTGAATGTTTCGTCGGAATGGATTGATGATGGATTGTTTATGATTATATGAATATGTTTGGATAGGGTCCTGCTATTCAGAAATAGAAAACTATTTCAACAGAAGAAGATTGAGATCAACTCAAGTGTTAAACACTCAAATTTAGCTTGTTTATTCCATATGGGCAAATGCCCTATTTATAGGCTCAAAGGAGCCGAATACATAATTGAATTGCAATCGTTTGATTGCAATATGACAAACCTATTTACATTATAGCCCCCTAGACTATTGAGGGACTTACACACTTTATGTTACATCAAATAATACACTTAATAATTATTCTATTATTCTACCGACACATAATAACAAATCCTTTCCATATTGAAAGGCTACATGTCTTGAATAATGATGGTTTTTTATGTCATTGCTTACGTCATTCCTGGTGGCAGGTTGTACCTTGTAGCGTTTTCTTAAACGCTATATGAAGTAACATTTGGATTTGAAGCGTTTTGTTTAAACTAAACGCTAGAAGCTTGTAATGCCAAACAAGGTTTTTTGTTCGAAACGGAGCGTTTTGTCAAACACTAGAAGCTAGAAGTTCCCAAATGCTCAGTGCCGAACATGTCCAAAGTAAATGATTGAACTATTATAAGCAAATTCTGTTCGTGATGAGATACATAAGCTTTCATATATCAAAACAACAATTTTTCTATTTTGGGCGTGTTTGGCAAAATTAGTTGTTAGCTGGAAGCGGGTATCGCGTAGCTAGTAGCGGGAAGCTGTAGCTTTTATTTGTTATATGAATGTTTGGCAAAAATAGCTGGAAGCTTTTGAAATATATAAAATTACATAAAATGACAATTGATTAAAAATAAATAAATATATAAATTTTTTTTAACGGTAATTATGGAAATTGATTTCAAAAGCTCAGTAGCATTTTGTTAAACGCTACATGAAATAGCTTTTAGAATTGAAGCGTTTTGTTTAAACTAAAAGCTAAATGTCTGTACTGTCAAACGAAGCTTTTTGTTTAAACTAAAACGTTTTGTCAAAAACTAAAAGCTAGAAGCTTCCAAACGCTTTCAAAAGCTCCAAGCCATTTTTATATTAAATTAGATGATTTATAACTAAAAAAACAGGAAAAATCTAAAATGGCGATGAGTAATAAAACTTATTCTGAAGTGATCAAAACTAGAGAGCAGTAAATAGTTAAAGGACGATTTCTGTAATTATGTGTTGGTCAAAGTATAAAGTCAATCCAGAGGGGGAAGAAAAAGGACAGAAGCGGCCGGTGGGGATAGAAGGCGTGTGGGGGCGGAACGACCAGCGTGCCTTTCCCTTTACATTTCTGCAAAACCCTTGCAACTCAACCTTTTTATATGAAATTCGATCCTCGATTTGGTCAAATTTGACGCATCACCAATTCAATTCAATTAATTTCGCCCTAAATTGACCTTTCGGTTCATCGATTCCTCGATTTGTTGAACTACTAGCTCTGTCGATTTGTTAAATTTGTAGGGTATCTGGAGCTCCCTAGATTTTATTCAATGGTGGTGGTTTCGAGTGGCTTCGCTAACTCTGTTATTCTTACTAATTCCGATTCCAAAAGCATGATAACCAGTCTTCTTTCTTCTTCTTCTTCATCATCTCGTTCGTTCCTTCATTGTAATCCGTCTTCTTCTTCTTTGGCGTATGTTCCATCTCAGCTTCGTATAGACTTTGGTGTTAGGAAATCGATTTCCGATAGGAGATCAGCTCGTGTAAACCCTAGATGCGAGGTAGTGTCGGAGCGAACCACCGATGTTGAATCTCTGTCGTCAGTGAAATCATCAAGTCGTTCTGCTCTTGAAGCTCTCAAGATCTCTGCCGGAGACAGTAAGTATTCACTTCTGATTGTTGTTGTCTTTTGTGTGTTAAAGTTATTTATATCTGGCTCAAATTGTATTAGGTATTTTCAAATGTTGATTAAGCATCTCAAGTGCTGTCCATTTTCTAGCTATATGGTGTTTACTCTAATGTATGGAAAGGCCATGGTGTTTATGTTATCATGACCATGTATGTGTTTTGCCTCACTCTGTAGGATATACAAAGGAAAGAAGCAGTGTTATGGTGATTGGACTTACTTTTCATACAGCACCAGTTGATATCCGTGAGAAGCTCTCAATTCCAGAGGCACAATTGCCTCAAGCAATCAGTGAGTTATGTGCCTTGAACCATATAGAAGAAGCTGCTGTTCTTAGTACATGCAACAGGATGGAGATATATGTTGTGGCTCTCTCCCAGCATCGTGGTGTTAAAGAAGTGACTGAATGGATGTCCAAGGTACTATTCTAATCACCTTCTAACATGATGACAACATGTATCACATGAGATTTTATAAGTAACCATGGTTATCTTCCTTCTTGCAGGTTAGTGGTGTTTCTGTATCAGAGATATCAAGACACCAATTCTTGCTTTATAACAAAGATGCCACAAAACACTTGTTTGAAGTATCTGCAGGGCTTGATTCTCTTGTTCTAGGAGAAGGTCAAATTCTCTCTCAGGTAAAGCATGTTGTAAAGGTGGGACAAGGTGTTCCTGGGTTTGATAGGAAGATCAGTGGGCTGTTCAAGCATGCAATCATAGTAGGGAAACGGGTCAGAACCGAGACCAAAATCTCATCTGGATCAGTATCCGTTAGTTCAGCTGCTGTAGAACTTGCCCAAATGAAGATCCCAGAATCTTGTTATGATTCTGTGAAAGTATTGGTAGTTGGAGCAGGAAAAATGGGTAAACTTGTAATTAAACATTTGGTCGCGAAAGGGTGCACGAAAATGGTGGTGGTCAATAGAACAGAGGATAAAGTCTCTGCTATACGTGAAGAGTGTAAGAATATTGACATTATTTATCGACCCTTTTCAGAATTAATCTCTTCTGCTTCAGAATCTGATGTTATTTTCACCTGCACGGCTTCTGAAACACCATTATTCTTGAAAGAACAAGTCAAGAATCTTCCTGTTTTGAGTTCACAAAGAATGTTCATAGATATATCAGTTCCAAGAAACGTGGAATCCTGTGTTTCAGATCTTGAAACAGCCTGTGTGTACAATGTTGATGATCTGAAAGAAGTGGTGGAAGCTAACAAAGAAGATCGGGCACGTAAGGCATTAGAAGCCCAATCGATTATATCACAAGAAGTTCAAGAATTTGAATCTTGGAAAGATTCTTTAGAGACAGTGCCAACACTGAAGAAACTTAGGGCGTATGCTGAAAGAATCAGGGACAGTGAGTTTGAAAAATGCATGGAGAAAATGGGAGATTTAACAAAGAAACAAAAGGGGGCAGTTTATGGTTTGAGTAAAGGTATAGTAAACAAGCTTCTTGAGGGCCCAATGCAACATTTAAGAAGTGATGAAAATGAAGGGCGATGTTTGGATGAGATACTTGAGAATATGCATGCTTTAAACAGGATCTTTGGACTTGAGACTGAAATTTCTATCTTAGAAGAAAAGATTCGGTCAAAGATGGAGAAGGCTAAAAACTAACTCTGGTTTGGTTTAGTAACCATTCTTTGGTTCAAATATGAGTTTGTATAAAGTTGTGGGCTATTGGGGGTTAGTTGGGCAAGTCTGTAACTTTGGTTTTGGGTGTTACGGTGTTTGCGGATGTGAGTGCAACTTTGAAGCCTAAGGGAACAATTGGGGAAAAGAGGGTAATGGTTTTTTCATCGAGGATTTTTGTTATTATTAATTGTTATAACTTCATATTACTTGTATCACATACTAATTTACACAATAATAAAGATGACTTGCCCAATTTGGGCTTGTTGAGAGTTTAACCTTATAATTGTCGTGCTTTCATTAATTATGAACCTGTTAGCTAGTTGCTGGGTTTGTTCTGCATCAAGAATGAATCAACTTGTGATGGTTGATGGTTGATGGTGTAGTTTGTTTGTGCGAGGGGTGAGCATAATAACCGAAAAACCCAACCAAAACCAAATTAACCGATATAACCGAACCATTTTAAAAACCGTTGGTTCGGTTTCTCATTTTTGTTAACCGATAACTAACGGTTCGGTTATGGTTTTATAGGTTGGTTATGGTTTTATAGGTTAACCGAATCATTATTAACCGAACCGCTAACTTTATATTTTAATATATAAAAATTATAGATTATATATAAAATAATATAGTCAAATTTATTTAAGATCCATTAAAATTTTGAAAATATAATCCATTAATCCTCACCTACTAGGAGACGAACTAGCAATCAAACCATCAAAGACTGATCACGCACACACATAATCTTCCAATCATGCATTGAGTTAAATTATTGATTAATGTTGTAATTCCTAATCGGCTAACATTATTCACAATTAGTTTAATCTTCACACTCATAATCGTAATCGAAGGCTTCTCACCGTTAATCCTAATCAAATATTGTTTTGATTTTATACTCCTATTCGAAGGATTTTTTTGACTTTGTAATCAATACTTCTAGGTAAGTTATGTTTTTGGTTCTTCTTGACTTTCTGATATATTAAGAATGTATTTTTTTTTTGATTTTTTTGGCTTTTTTTATTTACTGTTTTTGACTTAATCACATTGAATGTATATGAGTAATTGACCTTTTATATATATATATATATATATATATATATATATATATATATATATATATATATATTTCAATGAACACATAATATGAATGTTTGGCTCTTTTATTTTATAGTTTTTGATTTAATCATATTGAACGTGTATGAATGTTAAATTATTAATGTCAATTTTTTAAATGTTTTATATTTTTATTGAATGTTTTTGATTTTGAATGTGATTATGTGTTATCTCACTCTAAGTATTAAAGGTGCACATTTTATTCTATTACTATAAACTAGGTTACAAACATTGACGTCGACGACTTTTTGGTATTCTATTTTCATTTTTTTATGTCAATATATTTTCGTCATTTATATTATTTTGAACATTATGGTTAACCAATATTAACCATTAACCAAACCGCTAACCGATAAAAACCATTAACCATAACCAATATTGACCATACCCAATGGCTACCAAAATGCATTAACCAATCATAACGGTTATGGTTCGGTTTTAACCAATAACCGAACCAAACCGTCTCATACACTTTGTGCTATAGCAAGTACTCTGGTGCTTATGGATATTTGTTTAAGTTAAATGGTGTAGTTTGTTTGCAACCTGATTAATTCATATTTTTAACCTTTAACCAATAATAAAAGAGTTTTATTAACATGTAATAAAAATGTAAGCACGACTTTATATTTAGTTACATATTAGTATTTTTGGTAAAAAAATAACAATGTAAGTATTTCATGATTATGATTTAAAACTTAAAATATATTCCATATTTTTCGTAAAGACAAAATTGCAAGTTTGGTCCCTGTGGTATGTCAAAAATTGGATGTTTGGTCCAAAAAGTTTTGGGGTTGCACCGGTGGTCCAAAAGGTTTGATTTGTTGTGGAATTGGTCCAAAGACTTAACAGCCGTTTGTGCCCTCCGTTTGTATGAGGGTATTTCTGTCCAAAAGGATTGATCTTGTAAAGTATTTGTCAAATAAGGGTAACTTTTGAATAAATTAAATTCAAGTTTGATTCCACTTTGACCGGTCAAAATAGGAACCCGATTAGAAAGGGGTCAAGGGTTTTTTTTTTTTTTTCGTCATTTGATCGATCTTCAAGGGGAACGCAAAGGAAACGAATACAGAACATGAAAGGGAAGAACGAAGGCATAATTAATTGGGAGGAAGAGGAGATTGGAATGGGAATGAACCGAAGGCAGTCAAGAAGAACTGAAGAAGGCACACGAAGTCAGCGAAGGTTCGATCGTTCTTCTGGCTGAAGGAAGGGGGTCCGATGGTTTCTGATTTTTCATCGATTGATTCGCAATCGGCAATGGCCTCCGGGATTCGACTTAGGCCGAAGAAGAGGAAAGGAAAGGAGAAAACATTATTCGTGTTTGGGAAGATCGATGTCAAAAACTACAGTTGAAATGGTTGCGAGCACAAATAGGACTTGTAAGTCAAGAACACACGTTATTTGGAACGTCGATTCGAGAAAACATTATGTTTGGGAAGATCGATGCAACAATGGAGGAAGTAATCGTCGCTGCAACGACTGCCAATGCTCATAATTTCATCCGACAGCTTCCGGAAGGATGTGAAACGAAGGTCGGTGAAAGAGGGGCGCTTTGAGGTTAAGCACGCGAAATCGAGCCCAGCAATGTTCGATTCACCGATGCCTTTCAATGATCCACAATCGCTATCATCATCAAATCACCCACAACCTTCGTTCTCCCGACTCCTTGCTCTAAACTCGCCGGAATGGAAACAAGCGGTGATTGGGAGCTTAGCAACGGCGATGTTTGGCGCTGTGCAACCAGTGTACGTGTTAACAGTAGAAGGAATGATTTCAACTTTTTTTGTACTAAATCACGAAGAGATGAATTCCCGAATAAGAACTTACTCCATAATCTTCTGTTCACTTTCCATCATGTCTATCCTCGTTAACCTCTTACAGCATTACAACTTCACATACATGGGTGAGACAAAGTTACTTATAGGAGGAGATATCGATTTCGATTTTAACAGGAGGAGATATCGATTTAGGGAAAAGGGGGAACACACGTTGGATCTATTAATAAGGGAAGTAGACGTTAGGGGGGTTTAATTTAATAAAATATTAAAAGAAGGGGTGTGAATTGACATAAATACCCTCACACAAACGAAGGGCACAAACGGATGTTAAGACTTTGGACCAATTCCACAACAATTCAAAACTTTTGGACCACCTGTGCAACCCCAAAACTTTTTGGACCAAACATCTCATTTTTGACATACCACAGAGACCAAACTTGCAATTTGATCAAGAATGAATGTTGCTTTGTTAAAGGGTGAATTTGTTATTTATAGTCCAAGTAAATATGAGGTTAAGGTGCTAGGAATCTTTTTGGTTTTATAAGTGTGAGGTAAATGAGGAGTTGATGTAAGTTATTTTTATTAAAAGGTTTAAAATTAATTTAAAAAATATTATATAAAAATGGTTATTTAAAGATTGTCATAAAATTTATAACTTAAACTAATATTTATTTATGTCAAATAAAAAATTATTGAAAATAATAGTTGTTAATCAAAAAAGATAATTGTTGATAAGATTAATTAAATTTGACAATTTTTAACTAAAAATATAGTGTATTTTTATTTTTAACTAAAGATAATAACATTCTTTCCTTTGCAACCCACAACAACGAAATATTTTAATTTTTAACCCGAAAGACATGACAAATTCTAAAATACAAAAAATGCATTCTCATTTTGAACTCAAACTCGTTGTACTTATATTTTTAATCAAATCAATGAAAAACTTTTATTTTAACCCCATATATTAACATGCTTTTACAACCTAAAATAAAAACTACACTATAGATATATTTTAACGGGAAAGATACTTGACGGTTCTTTAGAATATGACATGTTCTAATAAAAAACTAATAGCCAAAAGGGAATTAACCGCCCCCAGACAAAAAACTCTTCGTCGTCTCATAAATGTTTCCGAAATGAAACTAACTGATGTAAGTAACTATTTACCGAGATGAAATTACTCACCAACTGTCAAAAGTAGTGAATCGTTGAAAGAGAACTAACTGAACCAATCAATGACTGACTACATGTTAGGATTGATGAAAGATGAAAGGAAAACGTATATAAGTTAAGATTCTTTATGTGAGACAGAGTCATCAAATTGTTTTGAGGAATCAGTCTACTCTTCGGATGTGTTGAATGGTTTTAAGGCATCTGGAATCCTCAACCATAAACTTACAATAAAAATAAGTGTTGCAGTCATGTTACTTCGTAATATCGACCAAACCAAATGATTATGCAATGGTACTAGATTATAGATTGTTATGCTTGGAAGACATATCATTGATGCCTTCAATGAAACTACTTATCCTATTTCGTTTTCAGCAAAAACAATTCCCCATAACTGTTTGTTTTGATATGACCAATAACAAAAGTCAAGAACAGTGATTATCAAATGTTGGATTATACTTCCATAGATATGTCTTCACTCATGGTCAGTTATGTGTAGTTGTTTCCATTGCCACAAGTAAATTTTTTTTTGAAGGTACTCATATGTGACGAGGAAGGTCATTCAACTAATAAACCAAAAAAAATATTGTTTACATAGAGGTCCTTCAACAATTATAGATATTTAATAATTTCATTATATTTTTTTAGACATTTCAATATTACTAATTACCGTAAAAATAATAATAATAATTGTGCAACATTTTTATGCCTTTATATGTATTTTTTATGTGTTCACCGCATTTTACACGGGTTATAATCTAGTTTAATTAAGATATGGTAGTTATCTTAATCGTTATAATGCCTTCTAACAGAAAATAAACATACACAAACAGCGATAACAGCAAATATAGAGACGTTAGTGACACATTCAACCGATTCATCATCCTCATTTGAGTCACTGGTGCAAACTACCATCTTCAATTCTCAAACTCTATATATAACTTTCAATCGCTGTTGATTAATCCCCAAAATTTTGCCTGATGATTTCAACATACGTGCATACACTCTCGCTATCTTCGTTAATTTCTGTTTTGATTCCATTCTACAAGTTACAGTAAGTTCTAATGCAACGCTAAACCCTAATTTCTTTCTTTGATCCTTCATGATTCTTGATATGAAAAAGAGAACATAATTCCTTCCGTATATCCTATATCTGCATCATTGCATGTTCT